CCGTACATTCTCGGGAATCCCGGATTTTTGCGGGATCTCGTGTATTCTCGGGATCCCGCATAAACTCGAGAATCTCGAATATTCTCGGGAATCCTGGATATTTTCGGGAATCCCGGGCGTTTTACGGGAATCCCGAATATTTTCGGGAATACCCGCACGCCCCTAGTAATTAGGTATTATTCATAGGTTGTTTGTAGATAGGTTTAGGTTTCGAGTTGGGCTCAAGAAATGATCTGGACACGAGGTGATGGAAAGGAAGGTTCTGGACAAGAATAGTATTTTATTGAATTGATTGTAGTCGTTTGGGGTAATTAGGTACTATTTATAGGCTGTTTGTAGGTAGTTATAGGGTCAGAGTTGGGGTCAAGAAATTATTTGGACACGAGGTTTGAGTCACGTAGCTTTTATTCCTGTATACACTGCGTATCAAAAGTGTACAAACACTTCGATTTTGGAGGTTTCAAATAATAATACATTGAGTCATGAATGTTCGTAGATGTTTCTTTTCGAAATAGTTTTTGCTTTTACAAAAATTTATTATACAAATGGACTCAATTTGATTCCATCAAAAAAATGCTTCGAGCGCAAAGGGTTCAAAATACAAAATCTCGATGTCGTTTTTCATCAAATTAGGTTGGTCGATTAAAATCGATATAGCGATTCACTCGTACGATTCATACTCGATCCAAGAACGATTAAATTATGTTTCATTAACATTAACACGTTGAACGCCGCGTCACCCACATACGGGTGACGGAGTTTTTCGCCAAGGAACTTCAAAAAATGATTTCAAGGGCTGAGTGTTGATGAAAACTGATCTGGATAGAATTCGTAAATTTTGATGAGAATACAAAAATGAGTAATACGACAAATGTTAGATTCTACAGTTTCTAATTGTCCCGAGACAGAATTTTAGTTCTGTAAACATTTCCATGTGAATCCATGGCAGTCAACGCGTTAAATACATCCGCGTACACAACTAATACAACTACCTTGAGAGGGTCTAAGTATGTTCCCGCGTCTAGAAAGGATTGTGCAACCGCACACCTCGTATAAATCACCGGGAAGGATCCTGGCAGCGTCGGGTGTCTCGCTGCCTACGTTTCGTTTTTAATTGAGCAATGGATCAACCGTATAGATCCCTTCCGCGCGCAGATCCCGCTTTTCAGATAAGTCCTCGACGCGGGCCCTACCTTCGCCGGTGACATCGGAAACCCCCCCGGTGTACCGCGATGATTTGCGGGGAGGTGTAACGTACGAAACGCGAGAACGAGTCAATCGGAGGGCGAGGAACGGCCGTGGCCACGGTCGATTCGTAACGATATCGTGTATCCAGGTGGAATCCCGGCGGAACAGACGCCGCAGATCGTTCTGTTGACGTTCGACGACGCCGTGAACGATCTGAATAAACAGTTGTACGCCGATCTGTTCGAGAACGGCCGTAAAAATCCAAACGGATGCCCGATCACGGCCACGTACTATGTCTCGCACGAGTGGACCGATTATAGCCAGGTGCAAAACCTGTACGCGGACGGCCACGAAATGGCATCGCACACTGTCTCGTAAGTTCGATAGGAGGCGAGGAGCGCCGCGTTCTTCTTCCTGTTTGGCTAGACAGGGGGACGAACGTTCCTGGTACCGACGATCCATGAATAACCGAAGTCGAAAATGTCATCTGTTGGCGGAGTTCATCGCGATAGGCAAATTTTCGTCCCCAAGAGGAATCAGTTAAATTAATACGAAATTCAAAAGAAAAATGAATATCGTCTGTTGGATAGGTAAGGGATCCAAAGCAGACATGAACGGGAGCTCCCGTAGCTGCAAGACCACGACTACATTATACGTGCCGATGGTATTCATTGAGTAATAGTAAATGAAACGTTTATGTTTGTTACTGTATCTTCGTGAGATTGTTGTTAATTGATCGACGAGGCTCTCCCGGCGAAAAGGAGCCCAAACACGACCCTATTCGGACTACTTTTAGTTTTCCATAATTCATCAATTTTAAAAAGTGATTCATTTATCATTCATACATCTACAGTAATCGTATGAATGAATTCTAATCTTGAGGTTAATCTTGAGATTAGGTATCGAGATTCTCGAGATTAATCTCAAGCTTAGAATTCATTCATACGATATTTTTTTTTTTTGTTTTTAATTACTCCAGATTTACGAATGATTCATGAATCATCATTTAAAATTGATGAATCATAGGAAACTAAAAGTAATCCGAATGTGGTCGTGTTGGTACACGTTTCCATAGAGAATAGCTCAGGAATGCATTCATAATATTTTCACGAAGATATACTAAAAAGTACATACACATTCCTCGTTAGATTTCTCTTACCAAAGTATTGCTTTAATAAGCGAAGTCGATTTATTCGAATTAATTAGGAAGGTCGAACAGAAATGAATTCGTACATATGTCTCTTTACATGGATAAAAGTATTCCATGAAAACGTACATTCGACTGGCTCCGGTTTAAGATTTCGTTTCAATTATTCATGGATTACTCGTACCGTTCCTCTAAATACGCGTAAACGCTAAGGCATCGAACGACATCGCCTCCGCCACGACTAACGTTCTCTCTATCTCTTTCTTTCTCTCTGGGCGCAGGACTTCCGCTGTCGCCTTTGTTTGTGCGATCTTCCTCCTCGAGGACGTCATCGAGGAAGGAAAATACCATCGAGCGCTTCGTTTCTCCGAAGATCCTCTAACCTCGTCGACGAAAGCGGAGCAGATTTTCGTTCCTGGATAAAGCGCAATTCAAATTAGTTCTGAGACTGTTTGTCGAGATCGAATATTTGAAGAGATCAGTACTTGAGCTATTCGGCGATCATAATTCGAATACAGCATTGTCTCGAAATAAGCAACTCGCTATCCGAAGAGATCCGACAAGAATTCGATTTTACTAGTGCTAAAATGAGAAAGCATGTTATGTTCTATCCTGTGCTCGAGCAATCAGCTTATAATTTAGTTAATATTTAGTTTGCCGCTACACCGAACTGTTTTGTCTACGGTTTCCCTCTCGTCACGCTCGTGAACAAAGTCTAGCCGAATTTCGAGACAGTACTGTACTTGCCTGAGACTCACTCTGAGACTCCGACTTCGAGATTGTACTATTCGAGTACTATTCGAATACCACATCCACCGATCAAATGCATCCGGAATATTAACCTTCTGCAGTCGAGGCCTTTTTTTCCGGTATGTACCAGCAACTCGAGATGTTTCTTAGCATTCTATTGCCATGAATTCTAAGCTATCTAGATATGAGAATAAGGTCACTTTTACCTCGCCGACAATCATTTTATTGACACTTCGAGCTCCAAAGAAATTAAACCTAAAGAAACATTATTGCTGGTAGATTTGCTGCGTGAAATGGTGACTGAGAGTCACCTCTCGAGTGCAAAGGGTTAAAAAATAATTGTTCGTTCCAAATATTAAATCATTCGAATAGTCGCTCTTCTAGTTCGAGCGCGACCTGCGCGGAAGGAAACTCGAGCTCATCTAAAATTAAAATTCCAGTTGTTGTTTCTCCGTGCATGAGAAACGCCACCGTAGAAAGGATTCGATGGTATCGTCGCGACGTCCCGCGCGGACGAGGCGTCTCTTATTGACACGCGTCGGGGCACTAACGAGAAATGAGCCAGCCTTTCCGGAACAAATTGCTCCGCTTCCGTTCCGATGTAACCGGGACGTGCAATTAGAGGATCTTCGGAAGAATCGCGATGAAATTGAAATTGCTGCCGCTAGACTGGTGAAACTGGCTCCCCGTCGGAGATGAACGACGACACCAGTCCTGGATTGAGATTTCCAGAGCCCTGGGAATGCCTGAATACGCGAATATTTCCATACAGTCTGGTTATCCTGTTTTGGTTAAATCTCGAGATTAGGATTCAATCGTTGACACATTGTTAACCGGTGTGTTAAACTCGTGTTTGCATTCGCGTTATCTATTTCAATTTATGAAACCCAGTCTCAGCCTGTCATTCGTTCTTTTTTAACAATAGAGTATACTTTTTTTAGTCTTTAAATTAATATCACATCAGTGGTACAAAATTTACGAAATAATAACCGGTGACATAAAGTCGCTTCTGTGTAAAATTGCCGCGGTCAACAATGTGTTGACACGTTCACGCCAACGTGTACCACCCGTGGTTCGCGTTCACGTGTTAATCAAATGGCGTGTACTACCGCGCCGCCCCATGGCGAGAACCCCATAAATAACAGCACCGGCGTGAATGTGTTGAACTACGTACTGTAGATTTATTACGTCACGTATACTCAGAGATGGCCAAGAAGCCAGTGAAACGTTTGTAGTATTCATGCTCAGATTCAGCCATTCCCAAACTTTTCTCCAAAAATCTCGGAGATCTCAGGGGGGTCTTCAGGGCCGTGCCCCTAAGGAGATCGTTCCTCTTTAATCCAGACCTGGTGCTCGCGAAACGGTTTCACCTGCCGCGTGGCACACCTGTGCCGTATACTAATGACACGCTAACCGCAACTTTTCTCTTTTCTCTCTTTCTCTTTCTCTCTTCGCATCACTTTGTCATCCCTCGCATACTCCCATCCGCGCACCCACTCGTCGACGTACATCCACGATTTCACACGCCACACGATCATCCACCGCCCACGAACATGTCCGAACGAACGCGGAAACAACCATCCAAAACACGAAAACAACGTTACACGTTCAAAAAAAAAAAAAAAAAATCTCCACGCTGTCCGTGCCCCTCCTCGTTCCCCGCCTACGAAACTTGAAACAGGTGACTATCTGCCCGAGGAGATACCGCAGATCGTGCTCCTGACGTTCGACGATTCCGTGAACGACCTGAACAAGGGTCTCTACGCTGACCTATTCGAGAAGGGACGGAAAAATCCGAACGGCTGTCCCATCTCTGCGACGTTCTACGTGTCCCACGAGTGGACAGACTACAGCCAGGTCCAAAATCTCTATGCCGCCGGCCATGAGATTGCCTCCCACACGGTTTCGTAAGTACCCACGAGGAGAACTCTGGATACCAATTCCTTTTTTGGAACGTTGCAACCGTACGGGTCGGTCCATGAGTCTTTCAGTTCTTGACGACCATCGGTCACCGATGAGTTAGTTCGTTTGGTCGGTATTCCGAGAGTCGAAGTAACTCCACGGTCTTCGTTAGGGGCTTGGACGAGGGCATTAATTATTTCTTGGACGTAGGACTCTTTTTATTAATGTGTGGACATAGGAGGAATGGTGCGATGATATTGTACAACTTTCCTTTTAATTTTATTCATGTGTATACTTTAACAAATTGATCTATCACTGTAATATTTACGGTGATATATTTGTTCATTAAATGTATAGAATTTAATATTTGCATGATGTTGAGGAAGGCCGTGAAACCTCGCGAGGGGGCAGACCACTGTAACATAATTTACAAATCTATTTCTTTTTTTAATCACAAAGTGAAATTTATCTATAAAAATTTTTGATTTTTTCTTGCAGAACGACTGCTTGTACGAGTGCAGAGTGATCGAGCGATAGAAGATCGAGAGAATGTTTATGTTAGACTAACTGCATGCGAGAAAAATGTGAACGATTGGCAACAACGCATGAGATTTTTCAAGAGCCCTTATTTTAATACAACCTGTATATAAATATACATGTATGTGTGGGTTTGTAATTATGTATATGTGATTGTGTATGTAAATATGTACATATGGGTCGAAAGTATGATTCGTGAATTGTGTTTGGTATCCAGAATAATTTCATTTTCATTCCATCACACTTTTGTAAACTAAATCCTACACCAGTCTTTTCGTTTTCATCCTGTAGATTCAAGTAAAATAAATATCCATGCATGTGTGAGTTTGTAATTGTGTATATATGATTGTGTACGTAAATATGTATATGTATATGGGTCGTAAAAAGGATTTGTGAACTGTGTTTGGTATCCAGAATAATTTCATTTCCATTCCGTTACACTCTTGTAAACTAAATCCTACACCAGTCTTTTTGTTTTTACTTTGTAGATTCAAGTAAAATAAATGTACATGTGTGTTTAATATCCAGAATACTTTCATTTCCATCCCATCACACTTTCGTAAACTAAATCCTACACCAATTGTTTCATTTTTATATTGTAGAATCGAGTAACTCCACGTTAACGACAATTATGTGTCCAGTTTTTGTTTGTTTATATGCTCGATAAAACGTACTGAAGGTACTAAATACTTTCTAAATATAGCTCCCTTTAAAATGCTTTTGCAGTGGTCTGACCCTCTTGGTACTCTAATTATTCGTTGGTTTATTAACTTTCTGCAAACAATTTAACCGCTTCAGCACTCTTGATATAAGGTTTAGATCATTGATAACATTCAGGAATGATTTTTCATACGATATTGATTGTTATTAAATAATTATGAATATTTTCCGAGAGCATTCCGCAAGATAGTAATCACGAGAAGTTCAAGTATGGATACAGAGTGAGTGCGAGAGAGAGAGAAACATGTGCGATAAGGATAGCTATCGATTTTGTTTCTAAATTGATAATATATATACTTGGAATCCACGTATGACATATAGCTATCATTCGTGACCGGCGACCGATTCGCCATCTCGCGGCCAAACACCCGAAGCTCGGGTTCGTGTGTAAGAGAGGGAAAAGAATATGTAAGACAAGGATAGAGTGAGCTCAGGGAAAGAGAGAGAAAGGTACATGAAAGACAAGGATAGAGTGAGTGCAGGGAAAGAGAGAGGAAGAAACATGTACGACAAGGACAGACCGGGTTTGTGAAAGATAGAGAGAGAAAGGATCATGATAGACAAGGATAGCGACAGCCCACCGAATGTCAGTAAACATTATCAATAATTTTCTATCTTTCCAAGGAAAATTCATCCACTTTTGCAATTGTGTTGTCAAGTATAGGTCACTAGCAACATTCAAGGACCATTTTCGATACGATTTCCATTGTTATTAAGTAATAATTAATCATTGTTCGTCAACGTTAACCCTACACCGGTACACGGCATTGTCCACACCTCGCGTTACTCGATTGTTTATTAATTATCAGTAGATAATTTGTGCACTTTGATGCATCTTGAATAAAGTCTGGACCAGTAGGAACATTCTAGAGCCATTAGTGGTACGATTCCGATTGTTATTAATTGATAATCAATGATTTTTCGACGAGATAACCTGCGCAAAATCGTTTATGAGGAGTGACAGGTCCCTTCGTGCGAGTGCGAGAGAGAACGAAACATGTGCGACAAGGATAGCAAATGTGGTGGCGCCATCTACTAACAGAACGCTCAAGCTCGTCGAGAAATAGTTCCATCATTTCGCCGCTAGATGGCGCCAACCTTTTACCATACGTTTACATGTAAATTAATTCATTAATTTATTTTATTAAACAATGAATGTTAACGAGAATGCTCATGAAGCATTACAAAATTGACCTGTAATAGGAATTTTCTGTTTTTATTACGATTTTGGGAATTTGAATAGCTGGCGCCATCTAGCGGCGAAACGGTAGAACTATTTCACGACAAGCTTGAGCGTTCTGTTAGTAGATGGCGCCACCACAATCGCTGTCCTTGTCACACATGTTCCGTTCTCTCTCTTTCGCTCACGCTCACTCTATCCTTGTCTTTCATGTTCCTTTCTCTCTCTTTCTCTCACGCTAGCTGTAGCCTTGTCTTATATATACCTTTCTCTCTCTTTCCCTCACGCTTGCTGTATCCTTGTCTTATATATACCTTTCTCTCTCTTTCGCTCACGCTCACTCTATCCTTGTCTTTCATGTTCCTTTCTCTCTCTTTCCCTCACGCTCGCTGTATCTTTGTCATATATATAACTTTCTCTCTCTTTCGCTCAGGCTCACTCTATCCTTGTATTACATATTCCTTTCCCTCTCTTACACACGCACTCGAGCTTCGGGTGTTTGGCCGCGAGATGGCGAATCGGTCGCCGGTCACGAATGATAGCTATATGTCATACGTGGATTCCAAGTATATATATTATCAATTTAAAAACAAAATCGATAGATATCCTTATCGCACATGTTTCTCTCTCTCTCGCACTTACTCTGTACCTATACTTGAACTTCTCGTGATTACTATCTTGCGGAACGCTCTCAGAAAATGTTCATAATTATTTAATAACAATCGAGATCGTATGGAAAATCATTCCTGAATGTTATCAATGAACTTAACTCTATATCAAGAGTCCTGAAGCGGTTAAATTGTTTGCAAATAGTTAGAAAACAATTCATATACTGAAGTTTAGTCTTTAACTTAATCGTAAGTGAGAAATGGGAGAAGATATGTTAGTATGGAAAGCAATTAGACAAAAATATATAATGTAAAAGTATGTTTTATTGTTCAGACAGCTTACAATTAACAATAATTACCACGTAACGAGAATATATTAAAAGCAATAACTGCATTTGCTAAGGAAACAATTATTCGAAGTATAGGAAAGTTGTATAACGCAAACATTCATCGTATGCTTTTACAGATTATAAATTATGTAAATAAATAATACAAATCATTAACGAATAAAATATTATAAATACAGACTCATGGCACGACCTAGTGTTCGAAAATCGATCGAGCATCGAATGATCGACAAGGAAAATCATAACGTTTCAGCGAAAGCGTCAGGGCACGGAATCCTCGCGTTCGTCATCTCATTTCGATCATTAATCACGATTACACTCTACCATTGAGCAATCTCGCGTCGCTTAATTTACAACCGATCATAGTCGGTCACGCTCTGTCATTACGCCGATCAATTAATTAGTAACTAACGCTAGCTTGGCTAGTCGGGTCCTATTAAAGGCACCAGTCGCTTTGTCAGTCAGAAGCCGCTTTCGCACATTGCTGGGAGCCAGAGTCCAGGAAATGATCACGTGAACCGAGGAACCAGTCTTCAAGACACGATTAAGAACAATTACTATTATTAAGCAGCCTGATATTTAAATCTTGAATAATGAAGTTATCAGTTTCTTTGTTACCAAGTTCCTGGTTCAATTCTAGTTAGGAAATACACAGTTCCCACGCTTCTAAATCTACTTTGTCTAAATATGGACGTAGGTTATTCAACAAGTGATCAAACTTCCTGAACTCTAGTCTCGCGAAACGCTTAATTCCCTTAAAAATAGAACGATCGACTAATGAATTTCCTCGTGAGCAGGCACAGCTTCGGTGAGCAGTTCTCTCAGCGAAAGTGGTCGCGTGAAGTTGCTGGACAACGCGAGATCCTCTCTGCCTATGGAGGTGTCAAGCTGGAGGACGTCAGAGGAATGAGGGCTCCTTTCCTATCGGTAACTCTACAAATTAAACAAATTCAAAATTTAGTTAACATAGTTATTATCTGTATATCTCCTTCATATATATAACCTACATATACAAGGTATAACCAAGGTACCTTCATGTTAATGGTCAACAGGTCGGAGGTAACAACATGTTCAAGATGCTGTGGGACACGAACTTCACCTACGATTCGTCGATGCCGATCTACGAGAATCGACCCCCTAGCTGGCCGTACACCCTGGACTACAGGCTCTTCCACGACTGCATGATCCCTCCTTGTCCCACCAGGTCTTATCCAGGCTTGTGGGAGGTTCCTATGGTGATGTGGCAAGATCTGAACGGTGGCAGATGCTCCATGGGCGACGCCTGCAGCAATCCCCCGACGGCAGATGGTGTTTACAAGATGCTGATCAAGAACTTCGAGAGACACTACACCACCAACAGGTATCAATCATAGACATAGAAATATAGGGACTGCCATAGCTGAACCAAGAGTGAAGCCATGGCCGCCTTATTACGTTGCTAGACGTACTGGACGACTGCTATACATCTGTATAGAGTCTGTAATCTATGGCTAAAAGCTTCCTTCACAACTGAAACGGAACCTCTAACATCTCCTAACATGTTCTAACAACTTCTAATACCTTCCAACACCACCTAACATCTCCTACACTTCATGACATTTCTTGACACTCCCTAACACCTTCTAACACCTCCTTAACACTCTCTAACAACTTCCGGTAGTTCCCTTCGCTTCTATTCATTACCTAGCACATTTCCCTTTAATTTTCCCCCTTTCTCTGGTACCTCTCCTCTTTGTTAAAGTGATCCAGATACAAAAGGTAAGTCTCGAGCTAAAATTAAAACATATTCCGGCTCTTCGAATAACATGTTCTTATAATATCAGAAGTAAAATTCGAGCCAAATTCGATTAGTGCCACCTCCTCGTTCATCGGTGATCTCCTCATACAAAAGGTAAGTTTCAAATAAAAAATAAAAATTATGATGCCAACTCGCACATTACGTTCTCCTGATACAAGAGGTAAGTATCGAGCAGAAAATAAAAATTATGATACCTACTCGCACATTACGTTCTTCTAATACAAGAGGTAAGTATCGAGCAGAAAATAAAAATTACGATACCTACTCGTAAATTACGTCCTCCTGATACAAAAAGGTAAGTATCGATATTTAATTAAAAGTTCACGTGCCATGTGCCGTACTTATGCTACTTCTTTGAGTATCATGTTCTCCTGATACTAAAATGTAAAATTTCCTCAGAACTTCGATACGTACCTGGTATTCCTCGTGCCATCTCTTCGCACATCATGTGCTCCTGATACCAAAATGCCAAATCGGCCAGAATTCCGAAATTTCGCAAAAATTAGCCCCTTGAACTAGGCAACCTACACTGACAGTCACGTCGTACCGGCTGCCTGTCCGTAGGCGCAAACGTGCCACCTCTTCGCACATCATGTGC